GCTGCAAAAACAAGTTAGACGTCCTCTAATTGTTGTTGCATCTTTTACGTGGCTGCAATAGGGTTCTAGCAAGAATGTTTTCTTACCTACGAAAAAGCCACAATGTGATTTGTCAACTTCTATTTACCCTTCATAAGGACCCTTTTCATCGAATCCGCTCCAACTAAAGTGGGAGAGACAGGCACCCGCTAGCCACCTTATGCAACTAGTGCATGTCAGTCGGTGGAACCTGTCTCACATAAGCGTACGTGTAAGGTCGGTCCGGACCGCTTCATCCCACAATATCGCTGAAGCAAAATAAGACTAGTAGTGGCAAGAAAGTTGACAACATCTACACCCACAACAGATTTGTGTTCTACTCGTGCAAAGAGAACTACGCATACACCTAGCTCATGATGCCACTGTTGGAGAACGTTGCAGAAAACAAAAAAATTCCTACGGTTTCACCAAGATCAATCTATGAGTTCATCTAGCAACGAGAGAGAGGAGTGCATCTACATACCCTTGTAGATCGAGCGGAAGCGTTCAAGACAACGGGGTTGAGGGAGTCGTACTCGTCGTGAACCAAATCACCGGAGATCCTAGCGCCGAACGGACGGCACCTCCGTGTTCAACACACATACGGTCAGCATGACATCTCCTCCTTCTTGATCTAGCAAGGGGGAAGGAGAGGTTGATGAAGATCTAGCAGCACGATGGCGTGGTGGTGGATGCAGCAGGGATCCCGGCAGGGCTTCGCCAAGCGTCTGCGGGAGGGAGAGGTGTAGCAAGGGGGAAGGGAGGCGCCAAGTGTAAGGGTGCGGCTGCCCTCCCTCCACCCCTCTATATATAGGGTCCCCAAGGGGGGCGCCGGCCCTAGGCGATGGGATCTCCTGGGGGGCGGCGGCCAAGGGGGGTGCCTTGCCCCCCAAGGCAAGTGGAGGCGCCCCCTCCCCTAGGGTTCCCAACCCTAGGCGCAGGGGGCCCAAGGGGGGGTGCACCAGCCCACCAGGGGCTGGTTCCCCTCCCACTTCAGCCCATGGGGCCCTCCGGGATAGGTGGCCCCACCCGATGGACCCCCGGGACCCTTTCCGGTGGTCCCGGTACAATACCGGTGACCCCCGAAACTTTCCCGATGGCCGAAACTCGACTTCCCATATATAATTCTTTACCTCCGGACCATTCCGGAACTCCTCGTGACGTCCGGGATCTCATCCGGGACTCCGAACAACTTTCGGTTTGCTGCATACTAATATCTCTACAACCCTAGCGTCCCTGAACCTTAAGTGTGTAGACCCTATGGGTTCGGGAGACACGTAGACATGACCGAGACGGCTCTCCGGTCAATAACCAACAGCGGGATCTGGATACCCATGTTGGCTCCCACATGCTCCTCGATGATCTCATCGAATGAACCATGATGTCGAGGATTCAAGCAACCCCGTATACAATTCCCTTTGTCAATCGGTATGTTACTTGCCCGAGATTCAATCATCGATATCCCAATACCTCGTTCAATCTCGTTACCGGCAAGTCACTTTACTCATACCGTAATGCATGATCCCGTGACCAGACACTTGGTCACTTTGAGCTCATTATGATGATGCATTACCGAGTGGGCCCAGAGATACCTCTCCGTCATACGGAGTGACAAATCCCAGTCTCGATCTGTGTCAACCCAACAGACACTTTCGGAGATACCCGTAGTATACCTTTATAGTCACCCAGTTACGTTGTGACGTTTGGTACACCCAAAGCACTCCTACGGTGTCCGGGAGTTACACGATCTCATGGTCTAAGGAAAAGATACTTGACATTGGAAAAGCTCTAGCAAACGAACTACACGATCTTGTGCTATGCTTAGGATTGGGTCTTGTCCATCACATCATTCTCCTAATGATGTGATCTCGTTATCAATGACATCCAATGTCCGTAGTCAGGAAACCATGACTATCTGTTGATAAACGGGCTTGTCAACTAGAGGCTCACTAGGGACATGTTGTGGTCTATGTATTCACACATGTATTACGATTTCCGGATAACACAATTATAGCATGAATAAAAGACAATCATCATGAACAAGGAAATATAATAATAATCCTTTATTATTGCCTCTAGGGCATATTTCCAACAATAACAACATACGTTGTTCCCTTCGTCATTGGTATGTTACTTGCCCGAGATTCGATCGTCGGTATCTCAATACCTAGTTCAATCTCGTTACCGGCAAGTCTCTTTACTCGTTATGTAATGCATCATTCCGTAACTAACTCATTAGCTACATTTCTTGCAAGGCTTATAGTGATGTGCATTACCGAGAGGGCCCAGAGATACCTCTCTGACAATCGGAGTGACAAAACCTAATCTCGAAATACACCAACTCAACATGTACCTTTGGATACACCTAGAGCTCCTTTATAATCACCCAGTTACATTGTGACGTTTGGTAGCACACAAAGTGTTCCTCCGGTAAACGGGAGTTGCATAATCTCATAGCTGTAGGAACATGTATAAGTCATGAAGAAAGCAATAGCAACATATTAAACGATCAAGTGCTAAGCTAACGGAATGGGTCAAGTCAATCACATCATTCTCTTAATGATGTGATCCCGTTAATCAAATGACAACTCATGTCTATGGTAGGAAACTTAACCATCTTTGATTCAATGAGCTAGTCAAGTAGAGGCATAATAGTGACACTATGTTTGTCTATGTATTCACACATGTATTATGTTTCCGGTTAATACAATTCTAGCATGAATAATAAACATTTATCATGAAATAAGGAAATAAATAATAACTTTATTATTGCCTCTAGGGCATATTTCCTTCACTTTGCTACTAAACACTTTGCTGCGAATATTAAGTCTTTCAGGTGTGGTTGAATTGACAACTCAGTTGCTACTACTTGAGAATATTCTTTGGCTCCCTTGGTGTCGAATCTATAAATATGGGTTGAATACTCTACCCTCGAAAACTGTTGTGATCCCCTATACTTGTGGGTTATCAGTCCACACGGCGCAGGCATCATCACCGTCCTGCACGACCGTCTGGAAGAGGTTCGGCGAGATGGTGAGGAAGAACCAGCGGATGATCGTGGTGTCGATGGTGAACCAGTCATGGAACTCGGGGACGAGGTTGAAGTCGACGGTGCCGTCCACATGGTCGATAAGATGATACTCCCGAAACACGTGGGAGAAATACGTCTTCCACGGGTAGTAGGATGAGTCCTTCTGGGAGAGACGAACCGGCACCCACTCGAAGATGTTCAGGTTGCGGATGTCGTTCACGTCGGGAGGGTTGGCGTCGGCGGACAGATTGGAGTTGGTGGACGCGGTGGAGGTGACGGACGACATGACGGCTAGGGCGGCTCGGGGTGGCGCGCGGGTGTAGCGGGTTAGGGTTTTGGACGGGCGGCGGCAGCGGGACTTGGGCGGCGGGAACGGGTGACTCGGGCGGCGGGGTAGCGTGGTGCGGGCGATCGCGGGTTGGTGTGGGTGGCAGCGGCAGGTAGCGCGGGCGGCGTGGGCGCGGTGAGGCAGCGGTGGCGGCTGCAATGGAGTTGGCGGCGGCGCGGGTAGGGAGGAGGGTGCGGTGGCGGCGGGGAGAGGGTAAGGACAGCGGCGACTGGCGCGGGGAGGCGCGCAAGCGGCGGCGGCGGCGGCGGAAGACTAGGATTTAGAACCCGGAAACTGATGCCATGTATTATGTATGAATTGCGCGATGTATTGCTCATGTGCAAAGGCACGAATATATAATGTACAAGAGGTGGGCCACGACCTCAACTATACAAGGAACTAGGAGGTGGACCTAATACACAGATATACACAACACATATACTCAACAAATACCTTGATCAATTTACGCACAATCTGTTTGGAGTATTGGACATATCTGGTTGTTTTACATACATGGAATACATGATTAATTTAAACACTATATAATGTGTGTGAAATCTCAATCATGTATTTTACTCGGTATTCTAGGATATTAATTCTTGCTTAAAACGCTTTCCATGTGACCTCGGCAAGAAACACTTTTTGGCGTTTTCCATACCAAACGACTTTACTAATTTGGGTCTGAAATGGATCGTGACAAAAAGAAGACACCCGTCCGTCTACATCGCCTCGTTGGGTCATGGTTTTTGTTCGCGTGAACCCAAACAAATGCGAGAGGATAAAATGGGTCGTCGCTCGCGTTGCATTTGGGCTGAATTATTGGCTTCTGTTCAAGTCAGGGGAGCCGGGTCCGGTTAAGAAGAGATAAATGCAGCGAGCAGTACAAGACTTCAATTTAGCCACTAACCGAACCAGGACATAACTGAGCCAGCTTTAATACGACACGGTACCTGCACCTTGATAGTACGAGTCAGACTGGGCACTGTCGGACCACTGCGTTGGGTTTTAAAGCTGCTACCAGTGTCAAGACCGTTCACATTATGATCAACCAAAGAAGAGATTCCTGCTCGACGCAACTGTGTGCAAAATTGCAGCTCGAGTTAAAGGGATCACATACATACAAAGTAGTATAAAATAAAACCTCAAAAGATATACCATGACAAAGTAAATGAAGATCATTACGTTTTTGCTGGGCGTTCATTGCGTGTTGGCGGATGCAAACAAGAGTATAGTTAATAGTACAACCAGGGGCTGACTATATAATATTTCGTGTCATCTATAGTCATCATTTACAGTCACTCATACAACAAGGTTAATTATAAGATTGACTATAACAATAGTAAGTTTTTCATCTTCTCTATATCTCTTTCCTCATATTGGTTGTATCTGCCTAGGACTACGCATATAGCTAAGCTCTTACATTAGAGTCCACTCCTTTTTTTCATATTTCTTTCCTCCACATAGATAAAATTACCATGTAAAGCTATAAGCATGTTATTGTACCTGCTCTGAGGCCTTGCAACCCAAGTCAAGTCAAGCATAGTTTACATTGCCTTTTGGCAATTCCTTACCTAGCTAGAGTCGTCACTTTGGTCTCACACACACAGAGAGCAAACCGGCAGCATGACTGCCGTGGCAAACGCACATACCATGCATCCCGAGCTTCTGAAGGCGGCATGCCATGGCAGCTGCACGGAACTGACGAACCTTCTGGACGGAGGAGCGGTCGACGAGCCTTCTGAGGTCGTCGTCGACATCGACCGCCACGGCCCCGCGCGCTCACCATCGCCGTCCTTGCTCCTGAAAGGGGTCACCCCAGACGGGGACTCTGCACTCCACATCGTAGCCGCCTACGGGGACCTGGATAAAGCCAGGACAGTCTACGGCAAGGCGCCACACCTCTTGGGCGCACGCAATAGCAGCGGCAGCACGCCCTTGCACTGCGCTGCCAGGGCCGGCCACGCCGCGATGGCCGCTCTCCTCGTTGAGCTGGCCAGAGGGGAAGAAGTCGCTGGTGAAGATGGAAGGGTGGAGAAGCTGGTGAGGAAGCAGAACGAGCTCGGGGAGACAGCCCTGCATGAGGCCATCCGCGCTGGTCACATGCTCACCGTGGATGAGCTGATGACGGCGGACCCGTTCCTCGCTCGTGTTCCGGAGAATGGAACCTCGCCGTTGTTCCTCGCCGTCTCTCTGCGACATGAAAAAATTGTGCGGGAGCTCTACGAGAGAGACAAGAAGTTGTCATACTCCGGGCCAGATGGACAGAATGCTCTTCATGCTGCAGTTCTTCGAAGCAGAGGTACCTTACTTACTCCCTTTGTTTCACAATATAAGTCGTTTTAGCAAGCTCTAAAACAGCTTGCTAAAACGACCTATATTTTGGAACAGAGCAAGTACTTTCCAAGTTGGTGCATTAATTTCTACTCATCTCCTTCATCGTACCAAAATGATCAAGTATAGCCATGTTTGTTCTATGCCACACTCTGCTGTGATCATAAAAATGATTGTATTTAATTTGCTATATACAATTCAACTTAACATTTGAATGTAAAATAACTGTACTTACTTAGCATATCAGATGTGTTAGACCATTCTTTTCCTCTCTGTTACTGAGAAAATATCTAGCATATTTTTACTACAAACTTGTGATGACTTCGTTTCACTAAAGTAAATGATCTCTCATGTTATATACTATCTCTTGGCCTTCCACAATTCAAAAATATTTTCAGGGGTGTGCAATTTTCTTTCGCACACGCATTAATTTCAGATCCCCTCTTGAGTGGATAGGAACTATTCACGCCTAGGGTAAAGTTTTATTTATCAAAGTTATTCTTTGTCAATCTACATATAACAATATATACAGAGTTGTACTAAATGATCAAATATTTCCAAATGTACCTTTACAGATGCATTTTTCCATATAGCGTTGTTTGACACAGAGAGGACCAAATTGCAGGTATGGCAGAAGCACTGCTGAACTGGAACAAGGAGCTTACTAAAAAGCGAGACCAACATGGAAATACACCTCTACACTTTGCGGTATCATTAGAAACTGGCACACGTGGTATGCTTCCCCAATATGCCGTGCCAGTGGTAAATGGAACAAGTATTACAAGTTTTCTGAATGTAATGGAAACACCAGCGGACCTTACCATGCAAATATTGGAAGCGGATGCATATTTAGCATATCAACCGGACAAAGAAGGGTCATTCCCCATACATGTCGCTGCATTAGCAGGGAGACTTTCATCTGTCATCATCTTACTTTCAAAGTGTCCAGGTTGTGCTAGCTTACGTGACACCCATGGGAGAACTTTTCTCCATGTGGCTGTCATGAAGAAGAAATATGATATAGTTCGGTATGCCTGCCGGACACCCCTGTTTTCGTCAATTATGAACAAGCAAGATAATGAGGGAAACACTGCATTACATCTAGCTGTGGAGGTTGGCGATTGGTGGAGTTTCACTTGTCTCTTCGCAAACAAAAAAGTAGATTTGAATCTACCAAACAATAAGCAACATACCCCGCGAGAAATTTCAGTTAACAGTACTCCCACCGGGTTATACTGCCTGCTGGTAAGCTACTTTACTATTCCTTTCATTCAGTACTTTATTTCCTAGATGCAGATAATAATTAGAAAGTTGATAACTTGATATTGCTTTTTTTTCCTGATCTGCAGCACTCACGGATTTTGATACAGCAAGCTCTAATATCTGCCGATGCTACACTTCGTATTTGTCGCCGGGATATCATGACGAAAGGACCTAGTACCCAATCTGACGCTGAGATTGATGCGGTAATATCAAACTCAACGCAGTTTCTCGGCCTTGGCTTAGTATTAATTACGACAATGGCTTTTGGTGCTGCTTTTGCCTTACCTGGGGGTTACAGAGCTGATGACCACCTTAAGGGAGGAACACCAACTCTGTCTACCGAAAGAGTTTTCCAAGGATTCTTGATGGCGAATGCATTGGCATTTATATGCTCGTCGTTAGCCGTCCTAAGCCTTGTGTTTGCAGGAACACCTACAGTTGAAATACCCATGCGCTACGTGCACTACAATATATCCATATGGTTATCTTTCAATGGAGTTTTATCTTTGGGGACGGCCTTCATATTGGCTATATACATCATGATCACCCCAGTTATTTCTGGAACTGCTATTATGGTCATGGTGGTGTTTTCTTCCTTGGAAATCATCTATATGCCATCATTAGTTGAGAAGCTTGTTAAATTCATGATAGTGGTATGTGGTAGAGTAGGAATATTGCCAGTAATGCTAAGATCTGAGATGCCAAAGGTAATGTTGCTTACAATTTGGCCCCTCATTGTAATCTTTGGATGGCAAGAATATGCATGGCGACACATGTGGCATTATGTACCTGTAGCAGAGAAACTGGTCACTTGAGCTTGAAGCATGATGAGTCCACATGGGGTCTTGTGGGCATTATTTCTACTTTTTAAGAAGTTGCTGCATTAAAAATCCAGCTGGCCACTGGATTATAATTCTGGAGAAGAGGAGGCTATGTATTTTTTTTACCCGAATATGATATTATATTAATGAGCAAGATTATTGCTTGTTTTTAAGACTCCTTGTGTTGAGGTTTGTTCTTCTAATTTTGTCATTTGTGGTTGCCTGGTAACGTCTTTCTTGTTTTCTTTTTCAATCTTATACGATGATCCCAAAGTTAATAATAATAATTTTTCACGATAGTGAGGGAAACATTGGTGTAAACTTACACAGGCTATTGTTTGCACACCACATTGTTTGCTAATCCAAATCATTTACTTCCAGAAATCGTTGCATCGGTTAAGGCTAATAGCACTCCCCCATTTGTTCAGTCAAGTTTGAACCAACGTGACATATAAAAGGCGACAAATAAAACAAACAACAACCTCTAGATAAAAAGGTGAAATTTCAAATGATTGTATAAACTAAACGGCCATATTTTCATTCCACGAGTCTGGAGTAAAACAACTCGCAAAACTACTAGGAAGAAATAGACGCAATGGATAATCAAAGCTGACAAACAAGGCAACAATGCATCGTAATTCCACACTCTACCTTATAAAATGAATAAATGGAAAAAGGAAGTTCACATATTCTGCTTTACAAAACAAATAAATGGAGAAGGAAGTTCATGAATCGGCATAAGTTATAATACAGGAGGCATTGCTGAAACTTCATGTTTCTTGAATCCACGGGAGTGATAATAGAATTTAGGCATAAGTGGGTACAATCACAATGAGAACTTGATATCGAAGAAGATTCAAAAGGCTGAGGCAAATTAAGCAGACAGCAGTACATCATATTACATACTCTTCCTGAGAATACAAATAATTGGAAAAGGAAGTTCATAATGAGAAAAACACAAGAGCCGCTGCAAAAATTTGCAGAATCCAGAGGTAAGTGGATACAATGACCTTGCAGAGGGAAGACAAATAGGAACACCAAGACAAATGCAGCGTTCTCCAACTTTCAGCAGTCTCAAATGGCGAGAAACATACACGACATTATTCTTGATCCAACATAGGTACTCGACATAAGCAGCACTAGATCAACAAGAGTAGATAAGATATTGCAAGTTACCTCATTTGTGGCATTGCTGCTTCTGATGGTCTGAAATGTTCCTTCGGAAGGATAATCTTCAAATCTTGCCTTTATATACATCGCTTTCACTCAGTGCTATGTAAGTGGTTTTCTTTACTTGGCAAAAACATATGGGATCAATCATCATATCATGAACACGAACAGATTTTTTCCATGCCTCCATCAAATTGATGTCTATTGGTTGAATCATACTTCTATTTATGATCACCGAGCTCAAATAGGCTAATCTCTTGTTTTCCATGATAAACAAAACGTTCGGCTATCCATTTACATACCAAGTGACCTTGCTTAATCTTCTAAAAAGTATTTAGATAATAACTAATCCTATAGATGACAAGGTAGATCAAAACTAGTAGTAAAAGAATCTTGACTCCGGATTATCACTTTGACATAATCTAAAAGCCAAGAGCTTCTTTTACTATTTATTTTCTACTTTCCATATCATTGGTGTGTCTGGCTCCTATTGTGGTCTATCCCTAGTCCACCCCAACTTGCTTAAGACTAAAGGTTATGCTGTTGTTCTATGATCTTCCTTCACATCATTTGTTATATGTAAGCATATATCAAGACTACAAAATTAAGAGAGACTAGTTCATATGGAGATGGATAACCGAAGGATTTGTATACCATGTAAATAAGAAATTGGCCCATTTGAGCTAGCACAAAGTTACTTCATTGGGCTCATAAACAGAAGCATGACTCAAACTGTAGACATCAAATATCAAGGCAGAAAAAGCTTATGATGTGCATGACATGATGCTAGATCCAATATAATCGTTGTAGAGAGAAAGAATTATGGCAATGTTCAACCTAAAAGAACATGGATGGTATCAACCAAATAACAAGATATTCTTCATTTCCTCAACAACAACCATGATTCTCATCCCATGCACAAGGACTTATGATTGTGAAGATTTTGCAACAATTAGTTGGCAGGCAAGTCAACAACGTATACTATTTATTCACAGAGAGAAGATAACAATTAATAATGAGCTAGTTATTAAGGGGAAACAATGAGCAAACCCTAGCGGAAAAAACTGCTTATACCAAACAATGTAAATCTAGAAAGAATCACCAACGATTTGCACTTAAGTTGCACACAGGTCCGACCACTCTCTGAGACTCTGACTGATTCTGCCCCTCTCCAAACAATCAAACGCTGTAGAATAGTCATCGCGAGCAGGGGACTCGTTAACGGACCCGACTGACCACGTGCCCCACAGACACAGAGTCGCTGCCCTGTTGACCCCACAAAATTTGGTCCCATGTGTCAGCCGGCCCGGGTACAGACGTACAGTACAGTACACAAAAACATGGATAACCTTTTTTCTTTTGAGAAACAAAACATGGATAACCAAGGACCAAATTACCGAAAAAGGCTTTCGCCCCGCTTTATATATAAAGCAAAGATCAACAATGTCTGGTACAACCGCACTCACCCACCACAAACGCACACACACACCCAAGGCAGGATACATAGGCGCTGAGCGCAGCAACACACTCCCTAGCACTACAAGAGCCGCCGGGGGCTACAATCGAAGAAGTGAAGCCGCATATGACGACCCGTGGGCTCCAAGACGGTGCCTTCAGGAAGGATACGGCACCGGAGCGTCGCCACCGCCCGATCCGAGGATCAGAGTTTCCCCTGGAGCACCACGACGGGCAATGATAGCCGCGACGACGCCTTCAAGAAGGGAGCGACCTTCGCCGTCGCCAGTCCGTGAGGATAGAGTAGGTTTTCACCCCGGCCAACATTCACCGCCACCGATCGCCACACCCCGGCTACCACGCCGCCCACACGGCCGTGGCAGCCGAGCAGCACCGAGGCATGAGCTTTTCCCATGAGCACCGCGCCACCACCACCAGGGCCGCCGCCCCGAAATCCAAGACCCTGACACCAAGTCCCCCGAGCCCCACTGCTACCCCCACCGCAGAGACGGGCGGAAAGGATTCGCCTTTCACACCCCTGGCCGGTCCCAACGCCGAGACCCAATAGGCCGGCCACAACAAGCCTCCATCGAGCCATCCTGCTACACCGGGCGCGAGACGAGCGCAGTCCAGCCGCCGGGCGCGAGACGGGCCGGTCCTGCTGCCGGGCGCAAGACAAGCGCAGTCCTGCTGCCGGGCGCGAGACGGGCTGGTCCTGCTACCAATCGCAAGACTAGCTCGGTCCTACGGCACCGGGTGCGAGACGGAAGATGGACCACATCCGGGAGAAGGCCAGCCCTCCGGCGAGAGATGCGAACGGACGCCGAGGAGAGGGGTCGAGGGCCGATACAGGCAGCCTACAGACGGGCCGACGCCAGGACAAACTGGCCGCCGCCACAACCAACCTGCCACCACCACAGCAGCCGCTGGGCCCGCACCCCCGCAGCCACCGCCACTGCGCCGCCACCCCGACCAGCCGAGGGGGCCACGGTCAGGGCCGCGGCCCGCAGCCCTAGCCTTCGCGGCCCGCGCCGCCGTGAGGTCAGATCTGAACGAGCCGACGCGGCCGTCGTCTCCAACCTCCGGCCCGCACCACCACCACCAACTGCCGCGAAGCCGCCACCACCTGCCGCGTCCACGACAGAGATGGCCACCAGCAGCCCGAGCCACCCGCAGCCCGCGCCGTCTTGAGCCAGATCCGGTCGCGCAGGAAACGCCGCCGTCGCGGGCACAAACGCGCCACCCACCCGCGTCTAGTCCTCCGCGCCAGGCCTGCAGCATCGGCCACCGCCGCCGAGCGCAGCCCCGCGCCGCCGCGCCCCGGATCCGCG